CAGAAAGAATTGGCCGAAAAATTGCATCGAGATGCAGCTGTTCGATTTGGTCCATGTAGTCTCGAAGAGGTCAAAAAATTCCAAATTCTGCTCTCTGATTACCAGATTAATGTCGTGTCCAAAGATTTGTTCAATGCAATTATATATTCGGGGCCTGATTCTGAGAAACGTCTTTACATATATCATCATGATAACCATTATGATGTTATAAYATCTATGCCCGCCTTTTTGAATCGGAAAAACTTTTGCCCTCATTGCAAGAAAGGATATGACCACGGACAGAATCATTCGTGTAAATTTGTGTGTACTACTTGTTTCGGCGGTCCCTGTGAAGTGGAAAATTGGAGACACTGTGAACAATGCAATAGATATTTCAAAAACGAGCGGTGCTTTGCAAATCACACAAGGCGAAACAAGGCGGGTAGTTCAATGTGTTTGAGGGTAATTAAGTGCGCAGATTGTGACAAAGTCATTAAAAGAAAAAACAGGAATCCARACGCTCATCATTGTGGACTTTCAAAGTGTAATGTTTGCAAAGAATATGTTGAATTAGGAAACCATCTGTGTTTCATGCAACCCATTGATGAAGAAAATGACGCTGCTGCCGCTAACATTAGTTTGGAAGAGGAGAGCATGGAAGGGATAGAGCAGCTAATGGAGGAGGAGGAAGAAGTGTCAGAAAATGGTGGTGGTGGTGAAGCTTCTGGTGGTGAATCGAAGTCAAAGCTGTACTTTTACGACTTCGAAACAAACTAGGAAACGGGAATTCACCAACCGAATTTCGTTGTTACTCAAGATGAAAATGGGGTTGAGAAMGTCTTCAGCGGCCCAAACACACGCGATAATTTTTGTGATTGGGTATTCACAAAAGAGCACGAAGGATCGATTTGGCTAGCGCATAATATGCAGGGGTTCGATGGCTACTTCATCCTTTCGTTTTTAAACCAAAATGGAATCTCTCCAACAGTTATAATGAATGGGGCAAAGATCATGTCTATGCACGTGAAAGAGAGAGACATMAAGTTCTTGGACAGCATGGCATTCTTACCCATGAGACTTGCAGCCCTGCCCAAGACATTTGGGTTGAACRAATTGAAGAAAGGCTATTTCCCCCACAAAYTTAATACTTCTGCCAATCAGAATTACAGCGGTCCTCTCCCTGATGCCGAATTCTACGATCCCGATGGTATGCCTCCACCTGATCGTTCAGCATTTTATAATTGGTATGATTCGTTGAAAGCCCAAGACWACGTCTTTGACATGGAAGAGGAAATCTTAGCGTACTGTCGCTCTGATGTGGATATTCTCCGACGATCGTGTCTTGAATTCCAGCGATTGTTTAAGGAGACGAGTGATGTGGACCCTTTTGCTAACTGTATCACCATTGCTTCTGTGTGTAACTTGGTGTACAGAAAACACTTCCTTCAACCAGAAACGATCGCTGTCATTCCACCGCACGGCTACAGAGCTCAGGATAAACAATCCATTCAAGCATTAAGATGGCTGACTTACCTGGCAGAAAGGGATAACATTTACATCCGACATGCAGGAAACCCTGGGGAACAACGAATTGGAAGTTTCAGAGTCGACGGGTTTCATTCAGAGTCCAACACCGTGTGGGAATATCACGGTTGCTTTTGGCATGGCTGCCCCACTTGTTTTGGTAGAAAAACAAGAAATCCCATTGCTGACTGTACGATGCAGGCTTTSTACGAAAGGACCTTGTCACGCAAGCAGCACTTGATTGATCAAGGGTTCGATGTTGTTCTCAGCACCATTAAGGCATGGCTCTTTTGAGGAAGTGATGGAAAATCAGTTATTTATTCATATCTTTGACAGTTTAC